CGCTTAGATTGTAATTTTGGCGGGAACTCTTATCCCCCCTTTGCCAAAGAGGGTTTGAGAGACACGAAAAGACATGGAAAGAACTGAAAATGGCATCAGTCAAGTTGCTAGAAGAACAAAACTGCTTCAAATAAGTGAAAAGGGCTAATTCAGCTAAGAATACTAATCTTGGCCACAAAAGAAAGAGTAAAATGGAAAAAAGTCATTTGTTAATAAAAGTCGTCATTCTTCAAGCTAGAGGGCGGTCAAGCTACTATGAAAAATGAAAAGGCCCGATTTGTTAATAATAGTAGAATTTTGGCCATCTAAGTAATTCAAAACTATTAAAACAATAGTATTAAAGTATAGTAGTGCCAAAATCTTTGGAATATACAATAGTAGTGCCAAAATCTTTGGAGGAAAGAAAATGTAGTGATGAGAATAATCTGTACATTTTTACAATTTTTACATTAGATAATCTGAATCAGCCATCCACTTTATACCGTCCCATTGGGCTTTAAGAATAAAATTTCATTATCCAAAACAAATTATCTAAAAATTGGTAAGGCTAATGCCAGCTTTTTTTAAAGTATTTTTAATTATTTTATGAGGAATTTGGTTATTTTTCAAAATTGTGACGAAGTAAAGTATTTCTTCTTGTAAGTGTTCTGTAGTATTATATATTCTTTTTATTCTAAGTAGCTGTGAAAAAATTGTGTTAATGATGATTCTTTTGGAAATATTCGAATTCCAGTTGGTTAACTTTAGTGTAAAAAAAGTGAATTCTCTTCTCTTGTCGTAAACTTTTATAAAATTGTAATCAAGTCAAGGTAGACTACATTATTTTGCACCGTATTTGTATTATTTAGTTTTAAGCAAGTTGGGTAGATATTAGCAGCTTCTATTTTGTTGTGGTTGTTAAAGGCAATGATATCATCAATGTAACGAAAGATGTGTTGGTAAAATTTATGTTCTTTACTTAGTGAACGGACGAAGGTCAATTCTTTTGTGAAAAGGAATAATTCACACACAGCACTTGAAAAATTACCTCCCATTGGAATTCCTTGAATTTGTTTAAAGATGCTATTGTTAAATAGAATAAAATTATTGAAAAGCATGCTTGAAAGAAAAAGTTGCCATTTTTCGGTATTAATTATTGTCGAAATCTGTGGAATTTATATCTGGTAGAGCAAGTAAGCTTGTATAAATTTCTTCAAGTGGTAAGGTAGTATAGAGGTTCTCGAAATCGTAGCATAGTATATGGTCTATTTTAAGTGAATTAATTGTCTTAATCACTAGCTCGTTACTTGAAATCATCCAGTTGCAATGCAGATCCTTAAAATCATAGTTATTAATTAAGTCACGTATTAAACGAAGTTTTTTTGCAAAAAGATAAATCTATTTCTTTAAGATAACTTTTAGTACTATTGGCAATAAACCTGAATTTAATAGGAGACTTATGGAATTTTGATAGCGCATAGAGATTTGCAAATCTGTTATTATAGTTCCGGGGATGTATCTTGAGTCTTTTATGTAGTGCGTTAAATTTATTGATAAGAATTTTAGTGCTGGCAGTAATTTTTTGGTAAGTGCAATTACTATTTAGTTCTTTATGCAGAAGGTTGAAGTAAAACTTTTTTCAAATAACACTAAAATTGTTGCTGGCTTTGTCAATTTTTGTAATGATAAAATTATCTTGTTGTTTTTTAATAAGATTATAGAGTTGCTTCTTATTGTGTAAAGAGTTGAAAGAAGGTGTCTTGAAAAGTAAATGTTGAAATTCTTTAATCAGTGAACCTTTCCATTCAAGAAAAGTAGTAGTAGGTAAATTGGATTTATTACTAACTAAGATGATAAATTTATCTAGATCTTGATAGAATTGTTTGAGGCAAAAGTGTTTATTGATACTGAAAGTAGGACGAAATTTGGTTCCAAGTTGTAAAAGGGCTCGCAATTCTAAGTCTTCAATGATATTAAGATCTCCGGTTATAACATGTTGGTGAAAGGATCGACATATTTATAGTAAAGATGTAGTTGGCAATTACATATGCTATTTTCTTATATATATATATAGGCATTCACACGCCCTATTGGCTGTTTGTATGAAATATGTACATATAAAAATATTAGATTAAATATTAGATTGGTTACAATTTTAATTTAATTATCAAAATTTAAGTATTAATTCTAAAATTTAGCATGAAATCTGGGCCTGTTTAAGAGACATCAGTTATTTTATGCATGGTCTTAGTTCACGTAGTTTTAACCATAAATTAGGATCCACTTTTAATTTTTTTCTGTATTTTATTTTCAAATATAACATGGAAGAAAATCCTTGTTCACACAAATAGGTTGTGCAAAAAGGCAATAAAAATTTAATAGCTTTATTTGAATTGCCTTTAAATTCTTTTTTTGGTTCATCCAAAAGTTAACAAGTATGCTATTTCTGAAATCTTCCGTTAAAGTTTGATCGCAAGAAATTTCTAGCAATTGTTGTTTTTCGTCACTAGATAAAATTTCAGGTATATTTGAATAAAACAGATTTTTAACCCAATTTTTCTTTTCCATAATCCTTGGGAAAATACATGTTTAAATTATTTATCAATTAAAAACAATGATTTTTTAATATTGGATGCTAATTTTTTTATTTTCAAATTATTTTTGGTTAGAAAACTTTCTAAAAGTGATAAAAAGCTTAAAATATTACTATCCAATTCTTTTAGTATTATTAGCTCGACTTTTTTTATCATTGCATTCATTTTTTCTCTAATGGTAAACAAAGTAACACTTTATTTATGTAACCCTAAATTTAATTAATTTAACTGCCCAAAAATATCAGCTAAATATGCTAAACACACCAACCATAATTCACTAAATAAACAACTTGCAATTCAAATTTTGAATCACAAAGGAAAATTTGAATTTCTGATCGCAGTTCATAAAGACAATTTAAAACCTTGCCTCTAGATAACTGCCTTATTTCGGAATGTAACAAAAGTGTTTCATGTTCATTGCTCATCTCTTGGCATAAAATCATAAATATTCTTGAATTTCTCAGTTTTTAATGAAATTAACAATTTTCACAGCTTGATTCAAACTGATTTTTCAGGTTTTCGGGGATTGTTTTGGCTACTAAAGCTTCGCAATGAATGGACCAGTGAATAAATTTAGTTTCCAGTGTGACTTTCTTTATCTGAGAAATAGCACCAGAATGTTTTCTTGTTAAAGCTCGAGCTCCATCAGTGCATACTGTAATGCATTTATTTCAATGAATATCATTCTCTGACATAAAATTGTCAATTACTTTTGAAAATTTGATTTTCATTTGCTTTATTATGAATAAATTCCCAAACTAAATACTCTTCGGCAATCCATTTATCTTCTTCGAAACATATGCAAACTAATAATGAAACAAAGTTTATTATATCAGTACCATCATCCATTTGCAATATGAAATACTCACTGTGTTTTATTTTTTGAATAAGTGTCTTTTTTATGGAATCTGCCATTTCATGAGTTCGTTGACTTAATATATCATTTGATAACAGAATATTATTAAGTTCATTAACCGTTTTTTCATTGAATAAAGTTAAAATAAAATCTTTAGCTTCTGGTAATATAAGGTTTTCTCCAAAAGTGTGAGCCAACCAGTCTTGGCAATTCTTAGGCTTACTGGGTAACTAGCTTCCAAAGCTTTTACACTTGAAGTGACAAAAACCTTTCATTACTTGTTTAATATTTTTGAACTCCGATAATTTCCTTTGAAGATATTCTTCATATTTATCCTTTAAATTGGCATGCTTAGATTTAAGATGTCTTTTAAGAAATGATGGTTTCATACTTTGATTGGATAACTGTTCACCACAAACAAGATACTGGGGTTGAGGGTCCATTTCAGCTCCATTCCAGGTAATCCCAAATGATAGATAGCTTTCATTGTATTTTCTATAAACAATTTTTTTCTTTTCAATTTTCTTAGTGCTAATAGATTGTCCTGGATCCATCACCTGTGAATCGTCACTTTTCACTTAGTCAATCCATTCCATTTTGAGAAATCTAGGTTTGTTTTTATTATTTTTTCACAAATATTTAAATGCACAATATACTAAGAGTTCTTCAAAAACAAACAATGATATTCTCAAATCGCATAGAAGAGTAAAGAGTTCTTAAAAAACAAACGATGATATTCTCAAATCGCATAGAAAAGTAATGAATGCAAAGCAACAAGATGACAAAATACCTGCTGTTAGAGATAGCAAATGGAAAATGATTCTAAATGAAAATAGAGCAATATGATTCCAGAAATGGTGGGGACGTAAAGTGTAGACATGCTAATAAATCAATCAGCCCGAATTAATGAGATAGCATTATCTTTCAGTAGAAACTTAATTTTATTTCCTATTAAATACAAAATCTATTTCTGTTACTCCTTGTAAAAACATCATTTATGACAAATTTTGCTATATCTATGAAAATAAAAACGGTTTATTTTGCAGTCTATGAGCAGCTATTGACTATCAAAGCTCAAATCACATAAATTTATGAGTGTTAGAGGAAAAAATTAAACAGGATTTCGGGGTATTTAATTTTTGAATTTAATATTAAAAAATACTTTATTTCTTTGCGTACCAAATAGACCTGCGAAAGAGCATTTGGTCCCGCCTGGAAAACCAAATTCGTGCTGCCACGCTACCCCCTTGCAATGTGCAGGAATTGCATGACCAGTTGGTGAGTGCTTGGTACCAGAAACCTCAGACTACCTATCTGCACCTTATGAAGTCAATGCCAAGCTGGGTGCTGGCAGTTTTGAGGACTAAAAGGTGGTCCTACATGTTATTAACAGGATGGTCATAATGTAATGCCCCTTTGGTGTATATACATTCTATTTTTACATGTGTGTATAAAATTGGTATAAACTGAATTGTGCAAATAATTATAGCCTAAAAATAGAATGCAAATTAAGTAAAATAATTATGTTTGCTTTCTTTCTGATGTTATAATTCATATTGTCTTATAGTTGATTGGGCTGCCTTAGCTAAGCAATGGATACAAATGCAGCAAAACCAGCCTCCAGATCCTGCGTTGCCAGGTCCTCCACCTACTGTACCTCCACCTCCAGCTCCAGCATCTGTGCCACCTTCAGCTGCTTTGCCACCACCTCCAGGACATATGCCTTTAGTACCAGAAGACTTTCCTGAGGGAACTGTTACAGCACCAATACTGAAACCACACCTTTCCAGTACTGTACCTGAGCCTTTTCACCCAGAAAGGCCATTTGAAAATGAACCAGGTAGCTCACTTATATATTTTATTGCGTCATGTAAATCAGAGGCAGCCAGCATCTGTACATATTGGGTCTGGTTTAAGTTATATTAGGGGTTTTAGGCTGCATAATTTGCTATATTTGGCAGTTTAGTAATATATTCTGGAATAGTAAACATCAGGTTACTCTTCTGCTATCGGGACTGCATTCAGAAATGTATGCATGTGATGTATTATGTCTGTGCATATATGTGCGTGTGTATACACACACACATACACATATATGCACAGACATACATGCACACATACATACACGTACACATACAACACAGACATACACACACACATACATACGTATGTATGTATATATATGCATGCATACATTTTACATACATCCATACATGTATACAAACATACATTTCTGAATCTGGTCCCGATAACAGACAAGTACCAACATGAGTTATTTCAAAATTATTGTGATATTAATTTCAAATAACCTATATATATATATATATAAACCTATATATAAACCTATATATATATATATATAGTCTTAAAATAATTAGGAATATGTAAATATACAGGAATTAGGAAATTGGGTGAAGAATAGTAGTAATTTATTTTTTTATTTAGCTGCAGACCACAGAAATGTTACAGCAATAATTTTGTGTAATAAGGATTTCTCTTCTGTTTGTTCAATATGTTTGATTTTGCATGGTATAGTACTTTATTTTGAGACTTCTAATGCTAAAATATCATTTTGGTGATCAAAAATATCTAATGGTGTTTAAATCACAACAAAATTGTAAATTCAACCCCAAATCACTTAACTGAATTGAAGTATTGTTATTGCAGTTTCAAGTTGTCTTTTATTGTACTATTTCGGGAAACCCCACAGTTTTGAATATGCATATTAGTATAGCCAGTCTGTAACTTTGAAAATATTTATGCTTGCTGTTTCATACAAAGCAAGTCCCAAAATTTTAATATATATATATATATATTAATGCAAGAGAAATATTAAGAATAGCAGTTAGCTTATATCTTTTTATATAAACTAAGCTTGATTACTGAGAAGGAAGATTATATGAAATCCAATGAAGATCTTAATGTAGTGTGACATTACTGTAATCTATTGCTGGCTCTAAAATTGCTCTATGTGAAAATAATTTTTATTTGTTATAAAAATGGTTGTACAAGTAACATTTTCTAATTTTTTTGCTTATTTCATAATTATGTATAATAAATATATAATTTAGAAAACAGCTATTAAAGCAAGTTAATTAAAATAGTCATGCATTTATTTTGAGATAGAACATATTCAGAATTATTTCTGAATTCGTATCATATAAAATTCATTTTATATTAATTCTCACTCCTCTTTCATTTGCATGATTACTTAAATACCTCATTTTGAAATATAATGAAAAGTTATATATGCTTTAAATAAACATTAGGAAGGTTCTCTCTTATTTATTATAAAAACATATACAGTCAAAAGTCATTAATCCGGACTCGTCAGGACTTTGGCAATTCCGGATTATAGATCATCAGTTTAAATCTGGTAAGATGGCATGCAGAAATTATGAAATTAAAAATATGACACCATAATTTATGAAATAAAGAACAATTATGATCTAAAGGGTATCAAAATTTACAAAAAAAAAAGCTTAATATTTATTTGTTTACTTTATTAAACATTTCTTTCAATGTAAGTTGTTTAGATTGCTTTGTTTTTTATGTGATAATACTTTCTCTGTAATTCTACAAACAGACATAATTTCTTGTTCAGTTACAAAGTTCCGCTGTTCAAGTCCTATAATTGCTGTGTCGAGAATACCGACTAATTTTGTCAATCGAAATTTTTTCATTTTCAATAACCTCTATGTCACTTTCTTTGCTATCGGAAGCAAATTATAATGACGAGGAATTTGATTTAAATCATATCAAAGACGGAATACATCGAGATGAAATACTGCATTTAGTAAGGAATTATAAGCAAATAAAATAAAAACATCTGCCCTGAAGATAAGGATAATGCTGACAGATCAACTTCCAATTCATTGCGTGCCACCGCCCCCCCCCCCCGGCCGCAGAGTAGCGTGAAATTGATAAACAGATTTCGGAATGGTTAGATAAACAAAGGATATGCCTTTATCCAATTTTTGCAGCAATTCCACTTGTTGTTTAATGGACTTCGAAACATACTTTCGCTTTGTAAATCCTTTACATATTAGTAAATATATATCAGAAATTCTATTTGACATAATTGAAAGTTCAAGCTTACTTTTATAAAATTGCTCTAACAGTCCGCAAAAAATAATAAGCCGGATCCAATTCGAAGATTAAGGAACAACGCAATCTGCAAAATTAATTGAATTAGATAATTTTAGCTTAGCTTATACCGTGCGTTATACATTAAACGTGCATTCGTAAACGTATTTTGCGCATGCGCACACGCATATTCGCAGCCGTAAAGGTCTTATGAGCATGCGTCAACGCGATGCATGCGCAGAAAGTTTGTAGCTTTGCGGTCCGGATTATGGGTGTCCGAATTAACGACTTTTGACTGTATGTACTTAATTGTTATCACAATGGTCAACAGCTCTGTACCTATAATTATTAATGACCAAAGTCTGTATATGATGTGTTGGATGTCTTCTAAGGGGCGTGAATAAAACGTTAGGGTCTGCTCTATTACTGTAATATTTCCGAAGCAGAATTTATTCCCAATCATTTGAATTTGTGATTTTTTTTTCCCCTTAATAGTGCAACATTATTTTTTAAAACCGGTGTTATATATTTTAGAGTGATTGAATAGAAATGCTTTAAAACCAGTAATTCCAAAGAGGCGGGCTTAATCAAAAGCAAAAAGGTAGGGTTTGTATTCACAAATTATACACTGAAAATGTATAAATTTTTCTTTTTGAAAATTTCATGTTATTAATACATCAAGACTCTTATAATTAAATATTGATTGTTCAAGTGAATACTTTGTGGCTTTTTCCATTACATAATTCAACAGAATCTAAGTAGTTCTAATTCTTTTAAGCAAAAGGGTTAAATCTGTCCTTACAATGACGGAAGGAAGATGGTCACATTTACAGCAGTAAGACAATAATCAAGCATTTTACTGTATTAGTATAGTACATGAACTTGTTAATTTTCTACATGTGAAATGTTTGATAGATATTTCAAAAATATAAATAAATTTTGTCTAAAAAAGCTGTGTTAATGCTGCACAGCTGATGATTACTAAGAATGGCCATTGGCCGTTTACTGTAACAGGGATCATTAATGTTGTAATCATTAATGTTTAAGCAAAAGGGTTAAATCTGTCCTTACAATGACGGAAGGAAGATGGTCACATTTACAGCAGTAAGACAATAATCAAGCATTTTACTGTATTAGTATAGTACATGAACTTGTTAATTTTCTACATGTGAAATGTTGGATAGATATTTCAAAAATATAAATAAATTTTGTCTAAAAAAGCTGTGTTAATGCTGCACAGCTGATGATTACTAAGAATGGCCATTGGCCGTTTACTGTAACAGGGATCATTAATGTTGTAATCATACACTCAAATGGAAGGATTCTTAATTAATTTTTGGTCACTATAGAACTTTAGAGCAATACGGCAATAAAGAGTTTCAACTCTTTTCCTTTTGGCAAAGAACAAACCATAAATTTTAATATAATGAAGGTATGCTTAAGAAACAAGTTACATTCTGTAAACTTACATATTAGCATTTTATAACAATGGACAATGTATTCAGTTTAAAATTTCAAAGTAAATAATAAAGTAGTCCTATAGAAAAATGAACTTTTCATATCAATTTCGTGTAAAAATTTATTTTTCCATACATTTTTCATAAATACAAGCAATATCAAATGCTATAGAGTCGTTAAGTTATTTTGAAGCAGGGCAAGGAGACGTGAAAAATATGCAGTGCTTTCGCTGGGACTCAAACCCTGGACTTCTTGAATACGTGTCGAGTATGCTTCCAATTACACCATAAAGGCATGTGGAAAGAAGGGAGAAAAATCTTATGTACTCCTTCTCCTCGGATCAGATTTTTTACTGTTACAAATTAGGCCTTGACTACAAAGAGTCTTAATCCTATCAGTTATAATCGTGCCTATGGCCAGTTAAATAATAAAATCAGTGGTGCAAAAATAATCAAAGACATTTAGTGCTGCAGTTGAACTGGATAAGCAGAGATGTTACGATCAATTTTCAGTCTGAGCAGTCGAGAAAATACGGTGGAGGATAGAACTCGCAATGTCAGGAAGGGGGAAAAGTTACTTGACTAGTACCACTGCGCTGTGGTTGCTATGTTGAAATTCAGTAAAAAATGGAGTGTTTCATCACATGTTAATTATTTTTGGCGAACGCTATGATTATCTGTGTAGCTAATAGTCCTGCTTTTAATTTTTCAAAAGGGTATTGGCTTTCTTTATGAGTTCAATAATTTCGATGATAGATTTTAACAGTTCCTGAATTTTAGGATCTAATATCCATGTAAAGGCTTCATTAAAATTAATTCCAGTTGATTTTAGGGCTTTACTGTATTGAGTTTTCAGCTTTGAATTTTGCGCTTGCTTGAGTTTTTCCTTTTCTTCATTTTCGAGAGTCCTGGAAAGTTAAAATTATCTAAATTTGGAGCAGGGATTTTCTGAATTTCTTTGGGTTTGCTTTTCTCGAATTTTTCCTTGTATGCACTACAATACTATAGCTGATGACATGATTTTTACTGCAAAAAATGCAGATAGGCTGATCTTCAGGCCTTTTTTGGGCATATGTTACTTCGGTGTGGGCCTCCACATTTTACACATCTCTCCGGATTATCACATAAGTGCAGCGTATGGCCATACGCCTGGCAGCGAAAACACTGCGTAGGTCGTCGTTTCGGGTTGTATTTTTCGATTTTTACTTCAAAACTAAACATATCATTTAGTTGGTGAATCATATTACTGCTAGAGTTAAAAAAGATCGGAAGTTTAATTTCTGTGCCATTTTTAGTT